GGGCCTCTGAAAGTTTTCTTTTCTTTCTTTTTTCTTTTGTTGCTGTAATTGTTTTTGCTGGCTGCTGTTGGTGGGACAGGGTCCTTCTTTGAGGCCTAATGCCTGGCTATCTTAAGTCTCAACTTGCAGTGCATGCTAGCGCTAGCGTGAAAGTGCAGGCCATCCTCCTGCCTCAGCTTCCCAGGTGCAAGGATTACAAGCACGTGTCATCCTATCCGGCTAAGGATTTCTCTAACAGGTGGGTCAAGTGTCATTTCTATAAACTCTGCATGGTTTCAGAGTTGCCAGTTGGATAAGAGCTGATGATAATTCCGTTATGCAGGGGGCCTTATCATAATGGGATTCATTGCAATTTCAGCAACAGCCAGGATTTCCGGAATCTCTGGGGGTGTTATTTATGAGCTGTGCAAGTCTGATGTTTCAAATAAATAAGGAAAGTGATTTGAATCATAAACAATAACAAACTGGCTGCTCTAGAGAAAGAAAACAAGCAAGAACATAGAGTTTGCTTTTAGATCTAAGTGTTCTGTCACGATTTCCGTTAAAATTCACTTTATATGAGAAGAGCCAACACCCTACTCAGGTGCATGGACCCCTGTGCAGGTCGGCAGAGGTCAGGCAGCAGACTTATGCCTTGTCATGGTCCTACAGGATAATGACCCTGAATACTGACTGATCCCCATCCTCCCTGAGAAAGCCTGTGGCTGCTATGTACCACCAAATAGGCCTAATGCACCCTTCCTGTTACACTTGGTTTCTAACTCTGTGCTTGGCTCTTTCCTTAGAGCATGGAGTGTTTTAGAATTCCATCAATAGGTCTTTTGAAGGCACAAGATGAGTCTTGCATGCACTAAGAGACGATCAGTTCTGGGTGGTAATGTTTTTATTTTTTGAGGTAGAATCTTACCACGGAGCCCAAACTGGTCTTGAACTTGCAGTCCTCCTGACTTTGCCTTATGAATACTACTGTTAAATTGTGGGCCAGGATGCTCTGACTTAGTAATATATGGATTTAATGTCTTAGGCCATACTGAGTGCATAACAACCGACAACAGATTTTAATGGGTGGGATATCAGTAAATCAAAGATAAGAGCACAGACAAGCTCATCTTTTGTCTTCAGTTCTCTTGAACTGTGGAACATAGAGCAGGAGTCCTGTAAATGATAACAGAATCTGCTTATAGCAGTGAGTTCTTCTAGGTAGTCAGTGTTTTAACATATTATTCTAAACTGCCAATATCACTCTCAGAACTGTGACTCACTCCCCTCTTCAGGTTGATCTGTATGGACATTTTGGAGATGGAAGGTGGCAGTGACGGAGTACAGCTGACAGTTGGCAAGGAGTTTACTGTCTTCATAAACTCAAGCTGGTTTCTAAAGCAAAAGGGGGCTGGGCTCTAAGCAAAATGAGAAGCAGGTACAGAGCAGGCTTTGTCAACCTTCTAGAGAAAAGTGAAAAAACAACTTTCACAAACTGGAGACCTTATCCCCCCCCCCAAAAAAAAAGAAGACTGTGACTCTCACAACCATGTCAAAAAGCACATCTTCTTTATCAAAATGTCCTGGGGCCGGAGAGGTGTCTTGGCAGTTAAGAGCACTTGTTGCTTCTTTGGAGGACAGGGGTTTGGTTCCCAACACTCACATAATGGCTCACAATCAGCTACACCTCCAGTCCCCAGGCATCCAACACCCTTTTCTGACTTCCTTAGATACCGGGCATGCATGTCCTGTACATACATGTATACAGCCAAAGCACTCATACACATAAAACAAAATAAATCTAAAAAAAACAAAACAAAACAAAAAAAACAAGCACACAAATACCCGTGCCCCATCCAGGCACGTTGGCACCCCTTTACGTATGTGCTTAGGATCCTAGAGACTGGGAGAGCTGAGAAAGTGGGCTGCAATCTGTGGCCCGCCTCCAAAACGTAGTGTGTGCCTCTTGGGTCATGATTTCCTGCCCCTGGAGGGAGAGGGAAGCTCATAGGTCAGAAAGTAAACAAAACATACAAGTCTGAGAGAGCCGTGTAACTAGAGTCATGAACTCCAGTCCCTAAGGTGATACAGGTAATAGCAACAGTGGGAAGGGGGAATCCACTCCACTCTCTGTCCAGGGAACCGCTGCAGATTTTCTCCTCTGCACACTTCTTGTCGCCCGACCCGTAAGAAATAAGGAACAGAGAAGAGGGAGCTGAACAAGGATTTATTAAGTCAAAGAGAAAGAGAAAGAGAAAGCTGAGCCGCAGGTTTGCAGCAAGGAGGCTGGAAAATGTTCATCATCAACTCCAGAAACTCCGTGACAGACCCAGAAAAACAATTAGCTTTATAGCTTCCTCTTTCACAACCCGAGTCCCTTACCTGCATCCACTCCTTGGCGGTGGATGAATGTGCAAAGTCTATTCAATACTGAAAGTGCAAAATTTAATGTGAAGCTATGCCTATTGTTTTTGTTTAAGTTTTATTAATTACACTTTATTCACTTTGTATCCCTCCATAAACTCCACCCTCCTCCCCTCCTAATCCCACTTTCTCTCCCCCTTCTTCACTCATGCCCCTCCCCAAGTCCACTGATAGGGGAAGTCTTCCTCTCCTTCCTTCTGATCCTAGTTTATCAGATCTCATCAGGAGTGGCTGCACTGTGGCCTGGTAAGACTGCTCCCCCCTCAGGGGAGGTGATCAAAGAGCTGACCAATCAGTTTATGTCAGAGGCAGTCCCTCTTCCCATTACTATGGAACCCACTTAGATACTAAACTGCCATGGGCTACATCTGTGCAGGGGTTCTAGGTTGTCTCCATGCCTGGTACTTGGTTGGAGTAAGAGTCTCTGGGAAGACCCCTGTGTTCAAATTTTCTGGTTCTGTTGCTCTCCTTGTGGAGTTCCTGTCCTCTCCAGATCTTACTATTTCCCACTTCTTTCATAAGATTCCCTGCACTCTGCCCAACAGTTGGCCATAAGTCTCAGTGTCTGCTTTGACAGTCTGCAGGGTAGAGCCTTTCAGAGGCCCTCTGTGGCAAGTTCCTAGCTTGTTTCCTGTTTTCTTCTTCTTGAATGCCTATTCTTACTCCATACAAATTCATCAAGTTGTGTTTGGGTAATTTTGGTGAGTGGTCTTTTTGTTTATTTGCAAGTTTTTTTTATGATAAAGTTTATTTAAAAAGAGAAAATGTTTGCCATTGAGGGGGCAGGCTCTTGAGGTGTTCGCTAGGCTTAGGAAGGCCCTGACTGTCTAAGTTGTAAGTATGCAAAATAGGTTAAAAATAGAGACCAATCAGAGGAAAGCCGGCCAAACTGAGAAGGGCTCTCAATTAAGTGCTCATCTCAGCCCCTCCCCCACTTCGAGGGATGTCTCATGGGTACTCAGAAGGGAAAATGAGGAAGTTCAGTATACCCAAAGGTTTCCAGGCTTTCTGGCTGATGGTTCCTGTGACAACCTGGGGCCTGGCCTACCTCTCTCAGAATGCAGTGTTTGTGTTGACCGCGATGGGGTGGGCTTTCCTCAGTGATGCAACTGTCCTTGAACAATTCTTGCTCTTGTAAGGAGTTCCTTACCCATCTGCCTGTGCTCTGTAAGTCAGCCCAGGAAACTCACTGTTTCACCAACTCCAACTTAGAATCTTTACTTTAGCCCCACCCCGGCCCAACAAGGCTCCAACCCCAGGGAGCTAAGACGGCCTTTGTGCTTCTTTTTAAGTTCCAAGGGTGATTCTGATGCTCAAGTTAAGAGGAACCACTAGTTCTCTGAATGGATCTAGAAGATCTAAAATAACTATGAGTCTCTGTAGCTCAGAGGCAGAGTGTCTGCTTGGCAAGGGCTGGGGCCCAGGCTGGGTCCCAAACACCATCATTCATCACACACACACACACAAACACAAACACACAAACACACACACACACGCGATGAATACATTAGAGGAGCTGGAATGGATGAGGTAAAGCACACCTGAAGTCTCAGTGCCTGGGAGGCCGAGGAGGGAGCAAATCTCAGGGATTCTAAAAGGGCTCTCCCGGGCCAGCTTGCTGTTTTCCTCTCTTACTCAGGTAGTCATAAAAATGTATTCGTCAGCATTTTCATAACTTCTCCCACCCCAAGCCCCAACCTCCCACGGCAGCATGATCATGACCGCTAGCAGCAGCATGAATCAGTGATTTTTTTCCCCCCATGCATACCGGATTAACTCATGTCCAAATGCCATTTTAACAGCCTCCCACGGAAGGCCCTCTGGTGTCAATGTGTCAGACTGGGCATCACAGGAAGGGGACAGGGAGCAGGGTTTAGTCATCAGACATGGGGTTTGTGGTGGGCCTCAAGCACTTTTTCACTTTGGGGGACTGTCACCCGGAGAGTCTGAAGAAACCAGTTGACGGTGTGTGTGTGTGTGTGTGTGTGTGTGTGTTAACTTTTGACTTGCTGCCCCAACTGAAAAAACAATAGCCGGGTCCCTTAACTTATGGTAAACAGAAAGCCGTGCACAAGTCCTCGAGAACCTCGGGCCAGTGGTCAGAACAAAACGGTGGCGGGAAATCAACGCATGCGTGGATAATTACGAGCCCCGTGGGGAACAGAGAATTCTAGAAGCCAGGGGTGGAGAGTTTGAACAGGTTTGAGGAGGGACCCTGGGGACGTGTGCTTCGAGAGGAAGGTGTTTTAAATAGACGGTGTGGTAGGCTGATGCAGGGGACTCAACCCTACGAGACAGGCCGGTAAAGTAAGTTGACTGAATTGTCACTGGGCTGCGTTCCCCGGGGAGGCTGGCGTCTGGGATGGGGGATGCCACTAAAATGCTGGAGAAGAGGGTTTTATGACGACCCCAGCAGGACGCAAGGGAAAGGCGCGAGTCGGCCGGCCGCAGGAGAGAGGCCTTGAGGCCCTCGGTTCACCGTCAGGGTCAGAAGTTGGCCCTGTCTGTGTCTGTTCTGCAAGATGAAAAGCAAACCACGGGGAGGACCGCGGGGGCGGGGGGCGGAGAAGCGCACGAGGCTGGCGGTCCTGAAAAGGCATTTCAGCTGCCATGTGCCAAAGCCCGAGGTGTGCGGACAGAAGGAAGGCAGCGAGAAGGGTACAGCGGGTCGGGAATAAATAACCGGCAGGGCGGAGGATCCCGGATCCCGTCCTGCCTTTTGTTGGGCGACGAGCGCCAGGCAAACGCGTCCATCCTCCTCGGCTTTGGAAGGGAGAGATTGGAGCGTCCACCGGCAGCCGCAGCCCCGGGTGACTACGAGGGACCCGGGGACGGGGTGGAGGGGGGGTGGGGGCACGAGCCGGGACCTCGGGGCTCCGCGGCGGGGACCCCCGGAGAAAGTCGGGGGACGGGCCGCGCTGCGGCGGGAGGGGGCGGGCGGGCAGATCCCACCCCTTCCTGAAGGAAGCGCCCTCCCCGCCGCGCCCGCCGCCGCCGCTGCCGCCGCCGCCGCCGCCGCAGGTC